TTCTTCTTCTTCTTCTTCTTCTTCTTCTTCTTCTTCTTCTTCTTCTTCTTCTTCTTCTTCTTCTTCTTCTTCTTCTTCTTCTTCTTCCCTTCCTCTTCCTCTTCCCCCCCTCCCCTACTTCCCTCCTTCAAGGTATTTTAATTCTGATAATAATTAATCGGGAACACAGGAGGAGAGTTTCAAGCTGACCAAGTTTCCTTAAGCTTATGTAGTCAAAACCTCAGCTTAAGCTTCTCCTTGATGGTGAACCTCCAATTTACCAACGTTTTAGCGAGATCCTCTGAGTGGTTGCTGAGAGAGAGAGAGAGAGAGAGAGAGAGAGAGAGGGGGGAAGGAATGAGAAACTGATAGAAGAAGATAGATAGACAGATAGATAGATAGATAAACAGACAGACAGACAGACAGACAGTTAGACAGATAAAGACAGACAGTCAGACAAACAGAAACAACACCACACGTAAACATAACGCCAAGCAAACGTTCGCCAGGGTCCCAACACCAACACCGGCGTTCAATTTGTGAGCAGGACACACTAGTATTGCATCAAAACCTTGGCTTAACACAGATGAAAAACATGTTGACATTGTAAAGCCTTGTTGCAAATATTTCATTAAAATATGCTAATGGAGCTTGTCAGGGGGCAACCCTATTACGTCGAGTATCAGCGTGAGGTCTAGCATTAGTATGAGGTCGAGTATTAGTATGAGGTCGAGTATTAGTATGAGGTCGAGTGTTAGTATGAGGTCGAGTATTAGTATGAGGTCGAGTATTAGTATGAGGTCGAGTATTGGTGTCGAATATTAGTTTGAGGTCAAGTATTAGTGTGACGTCGAGTATTAGTGTCGAATATTAGTTTAAGGTCGAGTATTAGTATTGAATATTAGTATGAGGTCGAGTATTAGTGTCGAGTATTAGTATGAGGTCGAGTATTAGTGTTGAATATCAGTTTGAGGTCGAGTATTAATATGACTTTAAGAATCAGTGTGTGTGTGTTTGTGTGTGGGTGTGTGTGTGTGTGTGTGTGTGTGTGTGTGTGTGTGTGTGTGTGTGTGTGCGTTGATCAATTTACCAGTTATTATTATAATCTCTCAAACAAATACTTAATCTTTATTAGTAACGGAGATTTAACACCTTAACACACACCTGATTAATTAACTTTCACAGGTGCTCAGTTCCTTATACCTTCCTCTTAATGGTCTAATTTTCACTTATAACACTTAATTCGCATCTTTCTCTGTCATTTAAGTATTATTTAAGTATGCTAAGTAGGGTAATTTTCGCTGTGTAGTGAGTATTTTGTTATATATAAGTACTTTAATATGATTGGTGGATGTTGTAGATGTTCTTTCATGTGATTGGTGTATACTGTATAAGTTCTTTCATGTGATTGGCGGTTGATGTTATTGTGGTTGACGTCATAGTTTCGTCATGATGGTGTGTTTGTGTGAGATGTCATAGTTCAAGACGACCCACAGCTTAAAATGACCCACAGCTTAAACTGACTCAGAGCTTAAAATGACTCACAACTTACATAACCCAAAACCTAAAGTGACATGCAGCTTAAACCGACCCACCACAGCTTAAAACAGTAAAGCTTCGGATATTGCTCGTGTGTGAGGTCATTAGTGAATTAGAACAAAGCTTACTGTATGATCTATTAATAAAAGCTTTAACTACGTCCTGTGTGTAATAATCCAACGCCATTCATCCGATATCAAAGGATCACGACTGTTGTGAAAGTGTGTTAATGAGAGAGAGAGAGAGAAGCAAAACATAGAGACCACCAGGTGTAAATATTGGCAAAACAAGAGTAAAATATATCACCTTTATCTATATATTTCCTATAGGTAAATTCCTTGTTATTATTAGTACGTAATATAAAACTCATATAAAATTCTATATCTCTATTGTTTACAAACATCCGCCATTTTTAAATCCCCCACATCACAACATTTCCCAAAACACCAGATGGAAAATATCTCTCTGTTATCTCTATTCAGAAAAGAGATAAGAGAAAGATTTGGAGATTTTGCCCCTGTCTCTCTGCCTGGTGGAGATCCTTACACTGTCTCTCTACCCAAAAAGGAAACCAGAATGAGATTTTAGCTTCTGTGTCTCTGGAGAATTCTTATTTGAGATGTGTGAAGACTGACACACACACGTCTGTCAGTGGAAGAAATATACTAAATTACAAAGAAAGAAAGAAAGAAAGAAAGAAAGAAAGAGAGGAAGAGAGAGAGAGAGAGAGCAGTAACCTAGTGCCAAGCTTCATTAGTCATAATTAATGTACAACAAATAATCACGTATTTGTTGAAACATATTATTTCCATCACTTATAGTCTAGACATTGACACTACTCTCTGTCTGTCTGTCTGTCTGTTTCTGTCTCATACTCTCCCAGCCACAAACACTAGAGAATCATTTCACATAAACTTATTTAATCATCAAAACAGTACAAACTTTGCCTCCATTTACCAAACTTTTTCTCACATTATTATTTGTCATTTTCTTCCCTCCTCCCTTCTTCATTATTTATTCATTCTTCTGTTTATCTTTCTTTTTCAATAACCAACACACACACACACACCTTAACTTTCTTTTTACTCAATTCGTCACTTTAGTAATACTTTCTATTCAACCCTTAAAAACTTTCTAAAAACTTTCACTACCAACGCTAAAATAAACCCCCCTCAAGGCATAGAGAAACAAATCGCTAAGTTAAACAGACGCAAACTGGACCAATACAACAAGGTGAAAATATAGAACTGCAATGGCGATATAAAACTGTTTTTTATCTATTTTTTAATGGATTTAATTTTAGCGTTCATCCCCTGTCACCTTACCTCACCTTCACCTCCTCACCCAACACCCACACACACTTCACCTAACACCCACACACTTCACCTCACACCCACACACTTCACCTAACACCTCCCTCACCTAACACCCACACACTTCACCTCACACCCACACACTTCACCTAACACCTCCCTCACCTAACACCCACACACTTCACCTTCCAACACCCTCCCCACCCCACACCCACACACTTCACTCCAACACCTCCCCACCCCACACCCACACACACTTCACCCAACACCCACACACACCCCACCCCACACCCACACACCCCACCCCACACCCACACTTCACTCCAACACCTCACCCAACACCCACACACCCCACCACACCCACACACACCCCCACACCCACACACTTCACCCCACACCCACACACACACCACCCAACACCCACACACCCCACCTCACACCCACACACACCTCACCACACCCACACACCTTTCCACCCAACACCTCCTCACCCACCCACACACTTCACCCCACACCCACACACTTCACCCCACACCCACACACTTTCACCTAACACCTCCCTCACCCCACACCCACACACCCCCACCCCACACCCACACACACCCCACCCCACACCCACACACTTCACCCAACACCTCCCCCCTCACCTAACACCCACCCCACCCCACACCCACACACCCCACCCACCCTCACCTAACACCCACACACTTCACCCAACACTCCACACACTTCACCACACCTCCCTCACCTAACACCCCTACCACTCGCCACTTCATTACAGTGACCTCAAGGTGTATCGACCAGGTAATGAAGCTCTAACAAGGAGACGTCTCACTAAGCTACCTAAGACCTCTTCTGTCTTCCCATCATTAGTGCTTTTCTCACACAGGTAAAATGCTCCCCTGATTGGATGGTTTGGGTAGTTCCTTCCAATCCTCCCTAATCTGTGAGGAATTTGTGGTTAATTGGGATGAGATGGACAATACAGGCTTAGCAGTGACCACCCACTGACTTCTACCACACACACACACACACCCAAAGCATCGATGTATACAAAATTCCATGGAAAATAGTTCATAGATTGGCTCTCCTGCATATGAGACCTAGGAAGGAATGTTTTTGGGAGGAAGAAGAAATTGAATACACACAAGTTTAAGAAGAAGATGTATGCTTTCAACTCTGGCTTTTATTTCATCAAGCTTTCCTACAGGTGTAATTGAATTATGGTAATGTACGCCTTGGATTTACTATCTCTTTACTTTCTCTCTCTCTCTCTCTCTGGTTCTCTGTCTCTCTCTCTCTCTCTCTCTGGTTCTCTGTCTCAATCTCTTGGCTGCCTCCTCTCTGGCTGTCTACCTTCCACTGCACCTGCCTCCCCACACACTCATCTCCTCACCCCACTCATCTCCCCATCCCACCTCGGCCTCCTGCCACTCCCACCATCTCCTGCTCCACTGCTCCTCCCATCCCACCTCACCTCCCACCTCCCACCTCCACCTCCCCCACCCCACTCACCTCCCACCCCACTCATCTCCCCACCCCACACGAACACATACCCACAGTCTCACACGATACTAAGGCAACTGACTGAACGTGTCCTTAACTACGATTAAGTCCTCCCGTGGTAATTGGCCCCAGGTTTAATGATCCGCCGTTAGGTTAGGTTAGGTTTATAGAAAGACGGTGACCGATTAGAACTGCTACAATAATAACTGGTATCCAATAGAACTCGTCCCCATTATAAATAGGCCCAATTTTAACTAATTCTCATTTTAACTAGACCCCATTATATCTAGGGCCCATTATAACCCATAACGCCATTATAACTACACCCCATTATTATAAGGCCCCATTATAACTAGACCCCATTATAACGACCCCATTATCTCTAGGGCCCATTATAACCCATAACGCCATTATAACTACACCCCATTATTACTAGCCCCCATTATAACTAGACCCCATTATAACTACCCCATTATCTCTAGGGCCCATTATAACCCATAACGCCATTATAACTAGACCCCATTATAACTAGGCCCCATTATAACTAGACCCATTATAACGACCCCATTATCTCTAGGGCCCATTATAACCCATAACGCCATTATAACTAGACCCCATTATAACAACCCATTAACACCCATCTTCTCTCCCATTACCCTTTAGGCTACGTGTGTGGCGTCAGGATCACCGACTTGGACATTCCTACCATAGCCATTGAAGGAGACGAGGTCCACCTTCGCTGTGACTACGAGGCCGAGGGCGGGTCGAGTCTCTACACCCTCAAGTGGTATAAGGACAAGCAGGAGTTCTATCGCCACCAGCCTGGTATATCGCCCCACACAGCTGACGATCGTTGTTCTAATGATAATATTTATACCGTTATGGGAGTTAATGTTGATGTAAGTATTGGTGTGTGTGTGTGTGTGTGTGTGTGTGTATGTGTGTGTGTGTGTGTGTGTGTGTGTGTATGTGTGCTCTTTCTATGTACTTATAGTGTGTGTGGTTGTGTGTGTGTGTGTGTGTATGTGTGTTCCAAATATGTATGTGTGTGTGTGTGGTATGTGTGTGTGCCTTCCATGTACTTGTGTGTGTGTGTGTATGTGTGTTCCAAATATGTATGTGTGTGTGTGTGTGTGTGTGTGTGTGTGTGTGTGTGTGTGTGAGTCTTGTCTGTTAACGGTAGTGTGCTTCTGTTGGTTGGGTTATTTTTCTGTTACTGTTAACGATGTACTTCTGTTGACTAGCCCTGTTACTGTACCTGTCTGTTTAAGCGTCTGTGTCATTCTATTCTGTTAGTACTCTGTTGAATTCTGTGCGTGTCGTTTCCGTCTGTCTGTTAGCGTCTGTCAACCTTTAAATATCTGTGTCAGTCTGTCAGTAATATCTGTGTCAGTCTGTCAGTAATATCTGTGTCAGTCTGTCAGTAATATCTGTGTCAGTCTGTCAGTAAATATATCTCAAGCATAATTACAAAACAAAAGAAAGCACAAAGATAATACAAAAAACATAATTATCATAGTGAAAGTAACAAAAAGTAACAAACAAACAAATTAGATTGCTAAATGATACTTTCTCCAAACTTTCACTTTTTCTACTAAACTTTCCCTCAATAACGAAAAGAAAGTAGAGACAAGGCTTCCCCTCCCCCTCTGGCTCTCTTATTTTTACAAGGATGAAAGAGTTAAAATTTCTCTAAAAATTCTTGAAAGAGAAATAACATCAATAGCATTTTCTTATCTTTTTTCTCTCTAATCTGGCTATAGTTTCCTCCTCTATTATCTTATATAAATTCCTATACAAATTGACGTCAAATGATATATAAATTACTATAAAAATTGACGACAAGTGATATATAATGTCACACACACACACACACACACACACACACACACACACACACACACACACACACACACACACACACACACACACACACACACACACACTCAAATCTGCTCACCATAAAATCGGAAAAATCTGAACAGTGTTATTCAAGAGTCGGTCTAAAAACTCAAAATGTACAATGGCGCCACAAAAAGAAATCGGTGTTGTATATTGAATGAGGGATGAATAATGTAGAGTGGGATGAGAGGGAGGGTAGGATGGGGTGAGAGGGAGGTAGGATGTGGTGAGAGGGAGGTAGGGTGGGGTGAGAGGGAGGTAAGGGGTGAGAGGGAGGTGGGTGGGTGAGAGGAGGTAAGGTGGGGTGAGAGGAGGGTGTGGGGTGAGAGGAGGGTAGGATGGGGTGAGAGGGAGGTTAGGATGGGGTGAGAGGGAGGGTAGGATGGGGGTGAGAGGAGGTAGGGTGGGGTGAGAGGGAGGTGAGGGGTGGGGTGAGAGGGAGGAGGTGGGGTGAGAGGGAGGTAGGTGTGTGAGAGGGAGGGTAGGATGGGGGTGAGAGGGAGGTAGATGGGGGAGAGGGAGGTAGGGTGGGGTGAGAGGGAGGTAAGGTGGGGTGAGAGGAGGGGTGGGGTGAGAGGGAGGTAGGGTGGGGGGTGAGAGGAGGTGGGTGGGGTGAAGGGAGGGGTGGGGTGTGAGGGAGGTAGGGTGGGGGGAGGGAGGTAGGGTGGGGTGAGAGGGAGGGTATAGGATGGGAGGAATATGAATAATGTAGTGGAGAGAGAGAGAGAGAGAGAGAGAGAGAGGTATTGTCGCCAGCGTAAAATAATTAACACAACACAACAGGTAGGTGACGCAGGTAAACACGTCTCCTCCTCCAGCCTCTATAAAATTCAAGGACATACAGCCACACTCACTGATTTAATGCCCGAGGGATGGCCATTTAGTCCTGCGCCATTTATTTCAGGCCATTTACTGGAGACCATTTAATGATACACCACACAATATATTAAAACATTTTCATCTTTACCTTTTACTGATATACAATAATCGAACATCATAGACCATACCTGGCCATTAATTCCCACCTGGCCATTTACTGAGTTTATTTACGAATCTACGTAGACTTATATGTGACTTACGAATAACGAACGTACACTAACCGAGGGGTTGGGGGGGAGGTTTCGTTAGTCGTGATCTGGCCGCCTCATATAACAAAAATTAATGATCTATCGGAATTTTTTGCACCTGTTCAGAATGATAATTAATCAGCTGAGTGTAATTAATCATAAGTTTATTCATAAAGTCGGTATTGTGAGAATGT